ATCCCTGGAGGGGTTCAAGGCCAGGCTGGATGAGGCTTTGGGCAACCTGGGCTGGTGGGAGGTGTCCCTGTCCATGGCAGGGGGTGGCACTGGATGGGCTGTAAGGTCCCTTCCAACCCAAACCATTCTGTGATTCCTCTGGTGACAGTAACTGTGCAGCTTCTCCTCTTTGGAATGAATTTGTAGAGTAGGAGCAAGTGTCGGGCTCTACTGGTGACCTGGCCAAACCTTCCTCAGCCAGGCTGCTGTGGCCAAAGCCTAGAGTTGGACCTTACCTTGCTGGCCATGATCCTGGAAGGGGCTGTGTTCTGAGTCCATAGGTAGCTTGGCTCTTGGCCCTTGGGTTTTCTAGCAAGTGTCAGACAGCAGTTGGGTTTGAGGGACATCTGGAGCACAGGCTGGTCCTAGCAATGCACTCAGTGGCTGGGAAGAGTCACGTCCCATTTCTCTGTGTCTCTTCCCAGGCAGGGCACAACTTCCACAATGCTGACATGAGCTATGTCAAGAAGCTCTGCGGCACCTTCCTGGGTGGACCCAAGCTCCCCGAGAGGTGAGTGCCAGGAGAAGATGAAGGGCCTGTAAAACCTTGGGTGGATGCTCCTGGTGTGTCTGGAGCGGGTGAGGGTTTCTCCTGGCAGACTGAGTGGGGTTCTCCTGGGTGCAGCTGGTGGACAACTTGCATGGAATTGAGCACACAAGCATGGGTGGAGGGAACATCCATCCTCTGTCCTGCCAGATCCTTGACCAGTTGTGTTCATTTGTCCTCCTTGAAACTTAAAACACCGGAGGAGCTGCTGACCTGGTCTGAGGGCTTCAGAAGTATTTCTTCTCCTTCAGTAACCAAACAAGAGCGCTTATCATCCAGGTCACCTTCAGAGGAGGTTGGAGAGTCCTGGGCACCCTGTCCTGTTACACTGGTGTTCCTATAACAGGACTTCCCTCTTTCTCGTTTGCAGGGTAGATTTTGCTGCCGACATGGAGCTGCCCGATAACTTTGACTCGCGGACACAGTGGCCTAACTGTCCTACCATCAGTGAGATAAGAGACCAGGGCTCTTGCGGCTCTTGTTGGGTAAGAGCACAGGTGGTTTAAGGTCACGTCAATGCAGAGTTTGCTGGACCAAAAAAAAAGTGCTGTTGAGTTTGCTGCTGAAATGCATGAATGGGGGGACACAGGGGATCCTGTAGTGTCTGAGCTTCTTGGTGGGCTTCTCCCAGCCAGGGTCGTGGTTGCTCATTCCAGAATGGCTTTTCTCCCTTGATCCAGCTCTAATGGTTTTCCCATGGGATTTTTGGGCTTCCTGCAGGCTTTCGGTGCCGTAGAAGCGATTTCGGACAGAATCTGTGTTCACACGAACGCCAAGGTGAGCGTGGAGGTCTCAGCGGAGGACTTGCTGTCGTGCTGCGGCTTCGAGTGTGGCATGGGGTGAGCTGCTCTTGGTTCCCGTGCGATTAAAAGGGGTATGGGAGGAGCAGGGACACAACCCGAAGATGCTGATCATTTCAGGCCTGTCTCCCTAATGAGCAGGAAGCCCCACCAGCGGTTTGTGCTGGAGTTAGGTGGGAACGTAAAGGTGACTGCATGGACTGAAAGTCCCTTGGGGCCACATCCTGCCTCCAGCTACATGATGGATGGTGTAGGGAGGTCAAGCACAGAGCGATGCTTTCCCACACAGAGTTGGGCTAAGCCAGAGGAAGGGTCTTTAAATAGCCCAAAGCCTTGGGTTTTCAGGCACAAGCCTTCTGCCTGTGGCTTTTGTAGTTGTTGAGAGCAGGGTGGGGAGTTGGGTCTCCCAAGTTGTGTGGTTCCAAGTTGTGAGGCTGACCAGGGACCTGGTCAGGAGGCACTGCTTGGGGATTTGGAGGCTTGGGTGCTCTTCTTGCCCTGAGGCTTTGGTGTCTCAAGGATTTGAAATTCTGACAGGGAAGGCAGGGGCAGACTTTAAAAGGTTCAGCTTAAAAAGCTGGAACTGCTGCCTCTTTCTCCAGGTGCAACGGTGGTTACCCCTCCGGCGCGTGGAGGTACTGGACAGAGAGGGGCCTCGTGTCTGGGGGTCTCTACAATTCCCACGTGGGTAAGTCCTGGCAGATCGACTTGTGAAAGCAAAGAGAAGCAGCTCTGCTTGGTTACAGGTTCATATCATCATAGACCCATAGAATGGTTTGGGTTGGAAGGGACCTTAAAGACCATCCAGTTCCACCCCATCGCCATGGGCAGGGACACTTCCCACTAGACCAGGTTGCTCAAAGCCTCATCCAGCCTCATCAATACACTTTGGATGAGGGCAGGAGTCTTCCTGACATATTTCCCCCTCAAAAAGCAACTTCCAGACTGGAAACGTCTGCCTCTTCCTTGCATGGCCATGAGTTGGTTCATGTTTCCATCTTTTCCGTCACTTTGTCAAGAAGGAGGTGGTGGGAAGCAGGTCCAGAGGGAAACCCATTGCTGATGCAGGGATTGCTCCCCTGGCAGTGACAGACCTACTCTTGCTCACACCCCACTGATCTGTGGGGTTTCTGGGTCAGAAAGGTCATAACCCTTTTTTGGGGCATCTGGTGCTTTCTCCAGCATGGCTGTTGGGGACAGGGGCCCTTGGGGACAGCCAGTTCATAGAACCATAGAATGGTTTGGTTTAGAAGGGACCTTCAAGACCATCCAGTTCCAACCTCTCTGCAGCAAGCAGGGACACCCCCCCTGCCCAGGGCAGGGGACACCCCCCCCCAGCCCAGGTTCCTCAAAGCCTCATCCAGCCTGGCCTTGAACCCCTCCAGGGATGGGGCATCCACAACTAACTAGTTCATGCCACCTCTGTCCTCGACAGGCTGCCGTCCCTACTCCATCCCACCCTGTGAGCACCACGTCAACGGCTCCCGGCCACCATGCACTGGGGAGGGGGGAGAAACCCCCCGGTGCAGCCGGCACTGTGAACCTGGCTACTCACCCTCGTACAAGGAGGACAAACACTACGGTAAGGGGGGTGGCTTCCGACACTGCTCGATGCACAGCAGCTCCAGAGCTGCTCCTGGTGGGATTGGTGGGGTTAGACCTCTTCCTAAGCTGTTTGATGGTTTCTGTGCTCTCAGGATGGGTGGTCCTGGAGCAAACATTAAGCCTGGCAGATGCCCAGTTTGTATTTATTGAGATGGGGGAACTGGTCTGAGTCCTCACGGTGCACCTGCCTGGGTTGATGAGCATGGTGCTGAGCCCTGGGGGAGTCTGGTGTCAAAGCCACCTCTTTCCTACTCCTTGCTGGTAGCCAGCCCTATATGTGTAGGATAGTCTGGCTGGTTCTTGGAGATTTGTCTTAACCTTGAGTAAAGCTGGGTTCGAATTTAACCTTTCAGTGGAGAAGGCTCCTTGCACAGGCACACCAAGCAGTCACTGTCCAGCTGTCCCAAGACCTGTGGTGGCCTGACAATGCCATATTAACAGTGGGGACTTTTTTCCTCCCTAGGCATCACATCCTATGGTGTCCCTCGCAGTGAGAAGGAAATTATGGCAGAGATCTACAAGAATGGCCCAGTGGAAGGAGCCTTTATTGTCTATGAGGACTTCTTGATGTACAAGTCTGGTGAGCATCAGCACCAAGGCTGGAGGGAGCCTTGTTCCTGACATCATCCATAGGGTCTGTCTTGTGTGGCCCTTGTCCCTCTCTACCCAAATCTGAAAGCAGATCTCAAGTTCACGCTTGAGTATCTGGTGTTGCAAGAACATGGGTAGATACCACCTCCTGCATCCACTGGTTTAGAACAAGGAGAATAAGTGCTTGGGACAGGTTCAGAGGAGAAGCCCCAATGGGGGACCCATGGAATTGCAGCTGAGAACAACAGTCAGGAAAAAAAAAGTCCTCGCAGGTGGCTGTAATGGTGTGGCCCCAATTCGCTGGGGATGTGCCACCTTCGGGACCCTTGCTGAGTGTCTCTGGGTGTCCTGTGTGCTGAGCTTCATCAGCTCTTCCTCCAGACTCTACACTAAGCTTCAGGTTTGGTTTTTAACCAAAAAAAAAAAAAAATCTCAGCTGGCCTCTGGGCTTTGACATCAAAGGTCTCCCAAGCTAGGAGTTGGGGGCAGAGGTGATGCCCGTTGACATGTTGACGTGTTGCCTTGCAGGGATCTACCAGCACGTGTCAGGCGAGCAGGTGGGAGGCCACGCGATCCGGCTCCTGGGCTGGGGGGTGGACAACGGCACTCCATACTGGTTGGCTGCCAACTCCTGGAACACCGACTGGGGGGACAATGGTGAGGCACCTCCCGATGCTGCCAGAGGGAACCCCCTCTCCCCGTTTTCTTTGGTACGATGAAGAGGTTGACTTTGTTCTTGATGTGCTTCTAGGCTTCTTCAAAATCCTCCGAGGAGAGGACCACTGCGGCATCGAGTCCGAGGTTGTGGCCGGCATCCCCAGCACGCAGCAGTACTGGAAGAGGGTGTAACCTTCTGGATCAAACCACAAATAAATCCTGAGTCCCCCGAAGCTTTTAACTGATAGCAGGTTGGGTGCAGAAACTCCCCCCCAAGAGACTATAGTTGAGGTTACTTTATTAAAGCTTTTTATCTTTTATTTTTGGATTTTTTTAAATTTTTAATTCTATGGTGGAGCTGGAGGTGGAACTCTGCTCATGGTGGGTTGCAGCTATGGAACATTCCTTGTTCGAAGGACTGCTGGAGGGCTTGCTGGCCTCTTGTGGCGTGGTGTTTGGGTAGCCTGGACCCTTCCCAGCCCAGTTGGTTACTGGGAGGGCAGGAAGCAGTACCTTTGTGCTGGGACGTGGTGGGACAGTGGAGATGGACCCTGCTGGGAAGCCACAGCCAGGCACGATTTCTGCACCCCTGGCTGGGTTTAGCACCCAAAACAATCAGCTTATGGTGGCACGTGCCTTGAATTGCCTATATTTAGACCTATTAATGACAAAATACTGACAAACTTGATGTGGGGCTGGCTCTGGCATGAGCTGTATTAAAACCCTTCCTGCCTGCAAGATGTCCTTTGTGCATCGCTTGCTCTGCTCCATCCCTTCAGCTGCTGTTTTAAACCACTTGTTCCTTGGTTTTTGTTTTTTTTTTTTCCCCCAGCTGTAGTCTGGGGTTATTGATCTTAAGGAAGGGCCTGGCTGGAGCTCCAAAAGTCTTTGATTAAATGTCCTGCAAGCATTTAGGAGCATGCTGAAAGAGCAAACGGCTTTTCATGGCTGGGCAGCTTGGGGTGTGCGGCGGGGCGTGCCTCAGCAAGGGTGCTGCACCCAAGGTGGGGAGATGCTTTGGGTGCTGAACGCTGAGCAGAGCTGAGGCATGGGCCCTGGGGCTGCTGCAGGGAGCTCAGGCAGGTGCTTGGAGAGGTATCTTGTTAACTTGCACACAACTGAAGCTTTTTGGTTTTTTTGAGCCACAGATGTTAAGGAAGAAGAAAAAAATGTTTTTTCTTTTCTTTTTGCTATGGGGGGAGGTGTAATAGCTGTGTAGGAGGAATCATGTGATTTGCCGCCACTAATATAGCGAAAGAGCTTTTTTTTATAATATATATATATAATTTTAAAGCACAAAGTATATTGCTGATCCAGTGAAATCTGTGAAGCAGGCTCTCCCGTGCACTGTACATAGCCCCTGACCTCTGCTTGCTCTGACACCAGTGAGCCAGAGCTGTGGTGTATGATTGGAAAAACTGTGCCAATAAATTGATATCTCCAGTGTCTTGTGTCCTGGCCCTTGGTTGCTTCTGCTTGACTTCAAACCACCTCAAAAACTATTCTCTGGGCATTGTGGAAGGCAGGCGAGACCCTCGTCTTCATGGGAATGGGGACACTCCCAGCCTGTCCCCTGGCCATCGTGGTGACAGCGTGACTTGTGTTGCCAAGATTGGCTATTCCTGATGGTGGGGAAGATGCTTCAACATGGACCAGAGCACAGCCAGGACTGTCCCCAGCATCTCTGCACCCTGGCACAGAGGGGGCATGGGGAGAAGGATGCACCAAGGCACTGCAGAGCATGCCTGCAGTACAAAGTCCATTAAAAGTTAATTTACTGACCTTCTGCTGTTTCTCCCTGATTAAAATTCTTCCTTTGGCTCTGGCACACAAGGCTTTACTCCAATGTTCTGCAAGGAAGCATTTGCATTTTCAGCTGAGCTGAGGGCTGCAACTTGTGGCGTGGTGGGGAATTATCAGTGTAAAAGAAATGACAGCTTAAAAAAAAAATTACCACTTTTGTTTTATTTTCCCAAAGAAAACTTTAATTCCACCAAGACAGGAAGCTGCACAAAGATAGCTACTGCCAGTATTTTATTTTTTTTTAACAACAGTTTAAAACTATCTACATCGGTACTTGTGGAGTAGGGGTCCTCCTTCCATGTAACAGTCTGGCTGCAGGGGTTCAGCCTTGCAAAGGCCAACAGCCCCGTCCTGCCGCAGGACATGGGCTGTCCTTCCCTTCACAAAGGCAAAGCAGCATTTGGGGGTGATAGGACCATGAAAACAAAAATCCACCCCAGGGAAAACAGGACTTGCCTTTAGAGCTTCGTTCCTTCTTACCCAAGCTGTTCCCAGGAGGAACACAGCCCACTTCCAAGTCCAGCCTGATGTGTTTCCAAACAGCAGTGGAAGCCTCTTCCAGTTTGCATCAGTCCAACCCAAAGCATTCTCCCATCCTCGAGCCAAGTGTGCCGGGGAAACCTGCCCTGGCCGTCTCCTCAGTGGCTCGAGCCTTTCCAGCCCGTGGCAGGGATCACCGCTGCCTTCTGGGGTGGCCAATGCAGCAACATCCCCAAAGAAGCATCCCATGATGGGCAGCACGGTGCAAACCCTCACCCCCTGCCTTGCAGAGGGACCTGGTGCTGCTCTGCCCCGGCCACCTGTCCCCTGGGGCTGAAGGTGCGGAGCCCAGACCCTGCAGCGGAGTCAGGCATGGGGTTATTAGCTCAGGGCTGTGCAGGCAGCTCCCTTCTCCTTTTAACTACCTCCCCAGCTGCTAAAACACGAAGTTTTGCAAGCTCAGGGTGCCATCTGCTCGAGGGCAGGGAGCTGCAGTAGGTGGCTTTCAGCTGGGGGCACAGCAAAGAGGACAGAGCATCCCACCTCCTCTGGATTTACCATGAAAAGGGCTCGTTTCAAGCCTAGCTGCCTCCTTCAGCACAACAACAGAAATGTGAAGATTACCTCCGCCTGTTTCCAGGCTACAAGGATGTCAACCAGCCTGGGCTGAGGGCCAGAGGGTGGGGATAAGGGAGCGCGTTCCTCTCCCGGTTGAAGCAGCATCCTTCCAGAGACGATGGAAAAGAGGCTGCCTAAGAAATGGAAGCAAAACCCAGAAGGTTTTGCCCAGCACTGAGCTGGAAAGGTGCCTCAAATCTCAAGCAAGAAAAGGGGCAACTGGAGTTTCTATTTAAAACCATCCTAACCAAAAAAAAAAAAAAAAAAAAAATTCCGGTAAACTGTCCCAACAGGAAAGAAGGGGAAAAAAAAAAGATTCAACCCCAAACGGTAAGACTCCAATTAGCATTTGTAACCATCCAAGCAGATGGCAAAGGCGGTGAGGAGTGGAGTCCAGCAACGCCGCACCGTTGATCCGGGGCTGCAGCTCACTGGCATCCCATCCTCGTCACCGTCCCAGGCCCTGTGGCACCTTGGTGCCCGGCCATCCCCACTGGCAGGGGACAGGGAGCCTCCTGCCTCCGCTGCCCATCCACTGACCGTCTCTATTCCCCCGCCTGCCCATTGCCCATCAGTTCTCGCCTGCCTGGACGTACTCCTCGGTGGCCTTGGAGATGGTGCTGAGGTACTGCCAGCTCAGGGCGGCCAGGAGCATGGCGCAAGACAAATAGATGGGGGAGTAGTGGTGGCGGGATGTGATGGGGCCACCGGGCAAGCTCATGGCACGGATGGTGGCGATGACCTGCTGCGTCTTGTTGGATGATGGGTCCGTGCTTGGGATCTTTTGGTAGATCTGGGGAAGGAGGAAAGAGGAGTTATGGTTCCAAACCAAGGCTGAGGAGACAAATGGGACTGCTACATGGAAGAAGAAGGCTTGTGTCACCCGTGTCCTCAAGAGAAACCTCAGTGGTGGACTGCCACCAGCTGCAAGGGATGTGGATGGGGCCAGAGCCCATTTCCCTTGAGAAGTGCACTAAGCCAAGCAGCCTCTTGAGGGCACCCCATGACAGGAGATGGACCACACGGCCTCAGACACAATCGCTCAACCACAAGTGGTGGTGCTGGGACCAGCGGTTCTCACCCAGCAATCCTCACCCACTGCCGGTGTTGCTGCAGCCCACCCCAAACCCAGCGAGGACACCCCAGTGTGACCAGCGGCTGGTGTGACCGACAGGAAACAGCCACCTTCATCAGATAACCCCATGGTTTTTGGGGTTTTCTCTTCACGGTCTGCAAACCCCATGGCCTTTAGGATACTGGTCTGCATGAGTCTTGGGGAGGCGTGCACAAGTGGAGACCCTCCTCCGGGCTATGCTGTCACTGTCCCTTGTCATGGGGTTGGCCATCCTGCAAAGGGAGCTCTAATAACCCATGGTTTGGGGTCTCCCTGCTGCACAAGTCATGTCTTTTTATTTAACAGCCCTCACTGGATTTGTTTTTTTGGGGTTGGGGTTTTTTTTTCCCCCCATGAATCTATCTACCAGATGTTCCTCCACGAGAACTTTTAACCTCCACAGTACCCTGAAGTCAGGAGTCCCACCTGTGAAGAGCTGCCCTTATTTACTGTTGGCCATGGAGCACAAGGAAACAACCACATCATGCTGCCAGCTGTGACTACAGACACAGAGAAAACAAGACTGCTTGGTGGAGAAGCCCATGGGGAGATGATGCAACCTGTTCAGAAGCCAACTCATCTCATTCTCCACCAGAAGGACAGCAGGACCTCAACCTCTGCCTCTCAACACAGGCACAAACCAAGTGTACGTTCGAAGGAACACCGTGCCCTGCCACCACTGAACTACGAGATGCAAGGAAAGGATTAACAGATTTACAGGTCTTCCCAATTCCACACCAGGAATGGAGATGCGAACAGCCAGAACTTACTTGAAGCAAGTCACTCAACCTACCTCTTCCACATACTGGTACATGATGGCTTTGACAGCTTGGATGTTTGTGGCATCCATCATGAGAGTGACGGCTTGTCCCTTCCGGATCTTCACGACACCCCTGAACACCTGCTTGTTGTTATAGCAGGCAGCCAGCGTGGCAATAGCCATCACCTACGGAGAAACACCAAGAAATCAATGGCAGGACACTCTGGAGTAGAGCCACAATCTCATCGACAGCAGAAACAGCAGGTACCAGGAAATAAGGATGAGATAGAAGAGATGGGGAACAAAACAGGCTAATACTGACATGATACATAACCTCCTTCACCTCCAACTTCTCATCAGCTGGGCTGGAGACGATGAAGAACCACTCGAAAACATAACTCACCTGGGGGATAGCGCAGAAGTTGAAGACACTTTGGTTTTTCAGCCGAGATAAGTACGTGAGGACATCAGGGACGTGGTGGAGGGCGTTGGTGATGAGCTCATTCAGACACTGGACAGCCATATCGATGTTCTCTGGTTTGGCAAGATCTGAGAGCTTCTTTGCGTATCTGCTCCAAACCTAAACATCAAGATAAGGACAAGTTGGAGGGTAGACTCATGCTGTAAGAGAGACAACAATAACAGTCTGAGGTCTAGGAGAGCAACAAGAACCACCAGAGACCCACAGAAGCCTTGAAGGACTGGGGCTTACTGGGCTAAAGAAAAGGAGAAAGGGCAGGCTGCAGAGATGTGACAGTGGCCAAAGGGATTGTAAAGGAGGATGCACCTCGTCTCCACATCTTCTCCAGGTAGGGCAAGGAATGGATGGGTCACATATCAGGGGGACATCAAGAAATGCTCTATGAGACAGGTGAGCCACATGGAAAAGGGAGAGAAAAATTCTTGGAGGGCCTCAAGAAGAGCAGACAAGCATCTGTCAGGCACAGGCAGAGCTGCTCCTGACTTTGGGCACAGACTAGGTACCCTCTCCAGATCTCACCCAGTCTTATCCTCCCTCATTCCTACCACCAACATAACAGAGAGGGGAAAAAGCTGCCCTATGAGTTCTTGGCAGTGTGGGGAGACCTCACCTCCTCCCCACATCTGTCCCCTGACAGCTGTAGATGGGTGTGGAACTTGTCAGCCAGATGTCATTAGAAGAACTGTTATTATCAAGGAGATGTGCAACCAACAGCAGTGATATTATACAGCACAGCTTTACTGTAGGGTCTTAATAAAATTAAAGCAGACTGTCAAAGTCTCTCCTGGTAACTTTGATTTAAAGGGGACACAGGAGACAATACAATTTTAGCTGTGCACCTTTCGCTATGCACCCTGCGATGCATTCCCTGGGAAGTACGAATGGTTGGCTCCATCCATGACAGGTCTTGGACAGAAATATGGAAAACTGCCAAGGGACACCAACAAATGGTGCGAAAAAAAACTGGCTTTGGGAATTTTGAAGGAAATTCCAGTAGGAACCCTTCTAATGAGAGGATGCAACTCAGTGTATCGGAGCAGCAACAAGAGCATCTTCAGCCTTGGTGCATTTCCGAAAGAGGCACAGCAGAAACGCTCGTCCCAAGGAGATGTTTCTCCCTCACCTCTCTGGGCCAGAACTCCCTTCCCTCCTGCTGGTCCTCCAAATAGTCACGGATGATGTTGGTTTTCTGTAGGAAGAGGCCCATGGAGTTGGCCAGCTCTGTGTCCTGCCCGACGACAGGATCTTCTAGCTCTGATGCAGAGAAGAGACGAGAAAGGCCGATCCCCACCAGCCCAGCAACGTAGTGACAATACTGTGAGGCACCGAGAGGTGAAGGGGCAGGAAAAAAAAAAAAAAGATAAAAAGGAGCAGTTACAAAGAGCTGCCCGTTTGCTACAGTGAGGTTTACAAAAATGATGCTCAGAAGTAACTGACAATGGATTTTCTGCAAATTCTCACAACCCTCCCTGGGACATGTCAGCTTTCCCATGCCCAGCAAACACTTAGAATCATAGAATAGTTTGAGTGGGAAGGGACCATGGAGGTCATCTAGTCCAACCCCCCTGCTGTAAGCAGGGACATCTTCCACTAGACCAGGTTGCCTTCACCAAGGATGTCCCACCAAGGTGCCACTCGTGCCTCCAGCAGCCGAATGAACTGCCCACAGGGGAACAACCAATGTGATGGGTCACCCAAAACAGGTGCTGGTGGGCAACACCAACCAACGACGCCATCCTCCCGTTACTCACAGGACCAGCAGCGTCTCAAAGCCTTCCCAAGCCTCCCTCATCTGGCTGAACCCTCCTCCCAAAGGGCTGCTCCGTCTCTTCTTTCCCCAGAGACAAGGTTGACCCTACTGACATTGAGTCCACTCCTCTGTCTGACTCACCTTATCCCACTCGTGCTGAGAGTCTACCTTCTTCTCCAAGAACTCTGCCATACCAACACCCATCTTGTGGCAGATATCCGAAATCACATCCTGGTAGACCTTTGACAGGTTCCTGAACTCCATGGAGATCTGCAGCACAAACCACCAGGAGGCAAGGGAAAAAAAAAAAAAAAAAAGAAAAATAAAAAAGATGGCGTCAGGAAAAAAACCAGCAGAGCTCAACATTTATTAAGAAATCAGAAAAAGACTGTTTACCAGGCTCTTATCCCATCCTGGCTGGAGATCTAGGACAACTCCCACAACCAGAGTTGTTTCAAGGCCCCTGAAGCACAGGCTCAGCCTGTTCCCAGTCTGAACGGAACGGTGCCTGGCGGTAGATCAGACACAGCAATATCTTTGGGAAGGCTATGTGGCCTTGGACTGGTCTTGTCTGGGTGCTGCAGGACAAAACTAGCTATGCTTGGTGCGGGAAGGCTCTGTGGCCTTGGACTGGTCTTGTCTGGGCGCTGCAGGACAAAACTAGCTATGCTTGGTGCACAGAGTTATATTATTTTTTTTTTAATTTTTGTAATTTGTGAGAGCAAAGCCCATCACGCCAACCATGGGAAAAGACAGGGGAGGTTTCTGGTGCTCAGTTCTCCTGAATCCTCTCCAGCTCTGGCTCCGCAGGGCACATCGTTCTGTGATTCTGTGATTTTGCAGAACTGGAAAGGCATCAAGCAACAGAAAAAGTGTGAAATCCTTCTTCTACATGTCCAATAACATGATTCAGTGACTCAAATGCTCTCGACACTGAAAAAAAATTACAAAGAGCATCTGCTCCTTCCCAAAACGGTGGAGCATCACATTTTATTGCACTGAACTTTATTCTCCATCAGTGGGTAACTACAGCCAGCCCAGGGTGTGTGGCCGATGAGGACAGCAATCTGAACGATGCCACCGCAAACCCAGGCTCTCCTCCTGCCTCTATCCACGGCTGCTGGAGTGTCCTTGCTCTGTGTCTTTGTCTGTAAAATTATCAACTCTGCTTCTGTCTCAATGGCTTCAATCCACTACAGAGAAGCAGGACTTGTGAGTACACACTTCTACCAAATATTATTAAAATCATAACTGAATACGAACCTGCTAAGGGCAGAATAGATTTAAAATTATAAAAAGCTGAACAAAACAGAACTTCCTCAGAAGATGAAATGCTCCTCGCTATAACTACACTTATTCTTAAACAAAGCTTAAAAAAAAAACCCGAAAAAATAAACCCAGCTATTCCCGATCAACATGAGCAACAGCAAAACTGCAGCATCCACCAAGGACCAGTCCTTGTGCCCTCACCAAAACCAGAGGTCTGTATCCCCGCCCAGCAGAGCCCAGCCTTGCCTTCCAGCAACAGCATCTTTCTGCTGTCAGCTCGAGGGATCTCCTCTAGGATGACCGGCCATATGGGATCCCCTTCGGCGCTGGGAGATGCTGCATCTCAGTACAGCAAAGCTTCATCATCCCATTGCTCCTGCTGGGATGGAAACCTGGCAGGAGCCCAGGACAGGCATCACGGTTTCAGCTCTGCTGCCTGTCATCCTGAGTGCCTACAGCACAAAGCCAGGGCCCTACAGCTTCACAGAACCACAGGATGGTTTGGGTTG